AGGTACAAAATGTTAACACTGCTGCCCGTGTCAACAAGTACCCGGGAGACATCAACTCCACCCATGTCCATAGTTATCACCAGGGGGTCATTGTGATCTTCTCCGGTGGCGGGAAGGTCCCGGTCAGTAAAAGTGATCGGTTCCCGTCTTGCTTGTTTTGACCGGGGATTGAGGGCTACCGTCCCCACGTAGAGCTCTCTCCCCCACTTCTTCCTTTGGGAAGCAGAATCTCCCCCTTCCGGTCCACCGTAGATGACCTGTAAATGCTCCTTGCCGGCTGCTTTCTTCTTCTTGTTCTGTTCGGCCGGCTGTCCTTCAGGCCTAACCCATTGATTCTTCTTTGGTTTGGCCTGAGCCAGGTACTCAGGATCAATCTCCCCGGCCTCGATCATCTGCTTTATTACTCCTTTCACACTGTTACACTCTGCAGTGTTATGGGAGTCAGTTTTGTGAAAAGAGCAATACTTCTCCGTCCACTGTTTCTCGCCGGTTGGTTTCTTCTCTGTTTTGACCGGCTTTACCTCCATGATTTCAGCTTTCACCTTACCGGGCAATCCAATCTCCTTTTTCAAGGAAATCTTTCCTTTTGAATGGCCCTGCTCGGCCTCCCGCTTGGTTGACACCTGTGCCTCAGCGTCAGCATAATCCCAGGCCGTGTTATAGGCCTCTTGGTAGGACTGGGGAGGCCTCCTACAGAATTCTTTGTAAAGCTCTCCGGACCGGAGCCCGGACACAAGGATGGACATGGCTGTTTTGTCGTCCATCTCCTCCACCTTGTCAACTTCATCCTTCCACCGGGTAAGGAATTTTGTCAGATCCTCGTGCTCTCGCTGCCCGGCTGTACTTAAGTAGGTGAATTTTTTCCTCTTGGTACAATTTTCCTTAAACTTTTCTTGAAACACCTCAGCCAGCTCATCGAAAGAATCGATTTCACCGGCCGGTAAGTTTTGAAACCACTCGGCGGCGCGGTCGCGGAGGGTTTGAAAGAAAAGCAAACATTTCTCATCCCCGGAAAGACCCATCATCCGCCCACTTTGATGGAGGGTTTTGACGTGAATTTCCGGGTCCTCCTTCCCGGTGAACTTCGGGACTTCAAGTTTCGCCTTCTTTGGAAACGGGGTCTCATGAACCCGGTCTGTGAACGGAGATTCGTTCAGCAGAATCTTCTTCTTTTCTTCCCGGTCTACTCGGCGTTGCAAATTCTCCAGACGTGCCTCGACCCGGCCCACACGATCCCGAGGTTGTTCAACATGAGAACGGGTCAGATGCCTGGGGTGGCTTTCGGCTTCTTCCTCCCGTGGCGCCCGGCTGTGCTGGGGCTCATCGCGTGGGGGTGGTTCCGTTCGCCTGGTCTGACCAGGTCGTCCGGCTCCTCTCCCTGCACGATTAAAGGCACTAGCCGGGATGGTTTCCACTCCCAACCGTTCCTTTGCTGACCGGTTTTGATTTCGGCCATCGTGTCCCAGCCTTTGGAAGGCCGACCTCCTAGATTCTTCTGGTTGAACATCATTTCCCTTCAATTTTTTGAGCGCTTGGGGGACGTCCCAATCCTCGTCCTTGCTGTGGACTGAACGCACATTCCCGTCCGAGGTCACCTTTGTTTGTGACCTACGGGACCGGCTTCTTCTAGACCGGGATGGACCTGCCTTATCCATCTCCCCGATCAGGTTTGTCGGGACGATCGAGCGAATGACGTTAGTTTGAGGCGAGGATTGTGGATACAATCCTGGATAAAAAGGTGAAAATCCTCCCGGCTGCTGGAACATGGACATGAAATGTCCAAAATTCTGAAGAGCCTGGGTATACATTGGATCAAGGGGTCCGGGAAAATTTGAAGGAAAAACAGGAACAGGGTTCACGGGGGAAGTGAATGGGATAGGTGGTGGAATGGTGATAATGGGGGTAAGAGTCTGGCTTGCCTGTTGTGTACTTCCTCCCGGGAACGAAGTTACGTTCTCAGCGGGAGTAGAAATTTGTGAGATCACGGTTTCCTGATTACTGGCCATGACTTTTTGTAATGGGTCCCACGGGTGGCGCCAATTTGATGGTGTAAATTATCACGCAAACACTAAGTAAAAGTAATCGGAAGGGCTGTAGGTGGAAACACCTGTAACCCGGTTTGTTATTGATAATGCTGGGACTATTACAAATTACAAGCCGTGAAGGTTTATAAAAACATACCTCACAAATGAGGATTTTAGGGATATTTATAATAAAGCTAAGCACGTCAAGCACGTCCCTGGTTATCCAACCGGTCAGCCTTCTGACCGGCCGTCCCATAGAGCACCTGGAGAGCCCGGTCTGAGGAAAGTGCGCCCTGCCACTTCGACCACCACCTAGTCGGACGAACAAACCGGGTGGCATCCATGGGTATTTACCCATCAGATACCTAAAAATTTGGTAGACTTGATCTTGACCCAAAATATTTTCGTCTTGAATATCTAAATCTCAAAATATTAGGATCGAAAAACGGACTTAAATCTATTATTTTTTCGATCCAGACCGAATGATGACCACCCCTCCACTTATCTTGTCCTCATTATGTCTCTTACTCACCTGTCTATGGCCCATGTGTTAACATAACTCAATGTTTGCCCATTATGGTTGTACTCTATATGGGCCATCAGTTATGGGTTATCTTCGCTCGGCCCTTAAAGTCTATGTTTGAGTGAGGTTAAAGCCCATGTTCTTCCAATCCAAAGTAATTTGCAAGAAAAAAACAAAAAACACACCCTCTTTTTTTTAAAAAAAAAAATATCTTAAATAATCTCACCTTTAATTTGCATACTTTTCCAAAAATAATCCTAATTTTCACTATCACGTGAAATAATCTGACCTTTCTACATGTGTGCGAATTTTAGATTGCCAAAAGACGCTAGCGGTTACTTAACAAAATTTTTGAAAAATATATATTTTTTGTAAATAAATAAAAGGTGAGATTATTTTTGGTTAATTAAGTCGACACGAATACTATAAAGTACTGAGTTTTAGGAATGGAATAATGATGTAAAATGAAGTTTTTATAATTCATTTTTTATAGAAAAGGGTGTAAAGAAAAGATTAAAACGTACATACTTGAAAACTACACAAAAACTTTTACGAAATAAGATGTGACTTACTTCCTTCGTCCCACAATAAATGTCCAGTATA